TGTCAGCCCCAGCCATTTCTCTTCCCACTGCAGGGGACATTTCTAACTGCACTGGTCCGAGTTACCCACGTGTGTCATTCCTCCTTCTTAACATTGTTCCCGTGTCTTTTGCTGTTGCCTCATTTGATTTAATTTCAATTTCTGAGTGCAGTCTTTGCTCAGTTTTGCTGCTTTTCCAAACACGGGATCCCATTTCTTTCCCGGCACAAATCACTAGCTTTTACTCTGTCTGGCGACTTTGCTGCTCAGCATGGTTCTTCACCGAGTCCCACTCGACATGAGAGAACAGCAAACATCCCCACCGCGTTGCCGAGAAAGACCAGCACCAACACATCCAGCTCAGGAGACGCCTGCCAGGATGGTTCCCAGTGCCAGTCAGCGTCATAAGGCATTTTATATTGGGTCACTTCTCCACAGTGGTGTGTGACACACAGAAAACAGCCTCCATCCCAACCTCTTTGACGTAGGGTTCATAGGGTTTTCTCTGGAACCATTTTTGAGCACATTTGTGTTGATAACAGCACATGTTTTGACATTTACAGGCTCAGATGAGCTTCTTTTGAACAGTCACAGGTTTCGAAGGGGCACGTGGAGACCTGCCGCATCAAGGAAACCCCCCCGTGACTTTGCTCTGACAGCTGGGATTTGGAGAGGGCTTCAGCACCACTGGTCTCAGTAAGGACGAGGGGAGGAGGAGGAAGACATCCCGGCCGAGGCAGCGGATCTGCGCCGGCTTCAGGCACCCAGGGTCATGTTGCGCAGCAGCCACTGCTGGGAACGGCTGTCACCGCACTCCCTCATGGTGGGAACCATCTTGTCCTCCTCCGACGCGAGGTGCATGTTGCGCGCCAGCCACTGCTGGGAACGGCTGTCACCGCACTCCCTCATGGTGGGAACCATCTTGTCCTCCTCCGACGGCTCATCCAGACACTGGTTGCTGTTGACATGCCTCAGGGTGAGCTTCTGCAATAGAGAAGGGTAAGAGCTGCAGCAAGATAATTACTGCTGAAAACCAGTAACTGCATTTTCGGTCTTATTTCAGTATTAGTCTAGTCACTACACAAGCCACGAGACAGGTACTCATCCCTGGCGGTCACTTGCACGGTTCTACGAGACCTCTACCACGCTACCTGCTGTTCCACGGGGTGCCCAGCTCACCTTCTCACGCGTGGCCAGGCAACCCGGGGAGTGAGCGCCTCTGCCGAACCCAGCAACAAATAAATGCAACAGAAAAGTACAAAATAAGTGCAAGGAAATATTATTTCAAAGCAACGGCATCTTGGATTAAGGAGCTTAGACTCCAGCAACGTGAACACATGTGCATTTCAGATCAGTGGAAATACATTTGCTAAGTATTATATGAACAACGGTAACATACAGATGAAAACTCTTCCGTTTCCAACACATTTTTTCTTCTTCGGGACACCCACCCCTTTCTATTCCTACCACATGAGACTGTATTTCTGAGGAATGAGAGGGTCAGAAGGGAAATAGAACTTCTTTTGAAGAAATAAATCATCTTCTGTTCAAAAGCACTGGGAGAACATGATCATAAAGAGATGCAGGGAAGTTAAACATGAAGTTGTGTACTTAGATAAAACAAGACAGGCACATTCGCAGCTGAGCAGCAGGTGTTCCCTCCATCACTCTTCCAGGGTTGATCTGTGGGTTTTAAGCAATCAAGCACACACCTTAAGCGCCTTTGCTATGAAGTGTTGCATTTACCAATTTACTCTTTCCTAAAAGGTCCTTCAGTTGCTGAAAAAACAATTAAAAACCATCTTATAGGCAAATCTGCACATGCACCTGCGTACACGTTAAGTCAGCAGCTGCGCGTCTGTGACAGAGCTGTGTAACCCATACGTTGAAACAAGCAGGAGCCAGGGGAGTGCAATGCTGCAGGACAGCTGTGGTCTGCGTATGGCTGAGGATGAAGCCGAATCTGTGCTGGCAGGGCTGGGGACCACCTTGCTGGATCCCCACACGCCAGCTCAGCACCCCGTGCTCCCCTGGCCAGAGCTCAGAGCCCGGCTTTCAGAGGGTTTACTCCAGACAAGCCCTGCACAACTCTGGCAGGGCGCAATGGCCATGCACTGCACCCGCATCCATCGACGGCCTTGCAAGCTCGGTATCAGCTTAATACTTCTGAAGCAAACATCTGTGTTTGCTACTGTACCCGATTCAGAAAATCGTGATTTTGGCCTTTGTTTAGCTTGTCCCCCAGTATTTTAAAGATTGGTTCCTCTCCCTCCACGGCCATAAGGCCATGCCATGGGTTTGGCAGAGAAAACCCAGCACAGGTGCCCATCTCTTACCATGAGACCACCATAAGGCCATGCCATGGGTTTGGCAGAGCAAACCCAGCATGGGTGCCCATTTCTTACCGCAAGACCGAGAGCCGTGCTCACAGGCTTCAGTTCCCTGCACAGACCCGCTCCTCTGCTCTGCGCCGCTTACTAAGGCAGACGTAGCCACGGGGCGGTCAGCTGCCCGCTGCGGGACAGGTCCTGCACTAGGTCCGCTGCCCCAAGGGATTATACGGACTCTGCCCTTCCATTGCTTTTAAAAACAGTCATGCAACCTACACAGGTAGATTTAAAATGCTCCAGGTGAAGTGGTCAAACAAGGTCTGAGCTGTTGTATAGCAGCTCCACAGGGATTATAACCCCGCCCCAGCGAGAACAGCCAAGGGAATAGATGATTTCAGGACTGAAATCTTGTTTGCAGATCCTCCACCGGAGCAGAGACCAATTTTATGTCAAACACCATGCAAAGGAACAAACAGGGGAACAAGGATGGGCGGCAAAATTCTGCAGGAGGGAGAAAGGATGCATCAACCCCACAACAGCAGAGCCCGACCCGAAGCCTTGGAGCAGCAGCATTGCAGAGGTCTCCTTCAAGACAGCGGCTACCAGAGTGGTGGAGGCTGCTCGCTCCCTCGCACACACCTGCGAGTATTAATAATACTATAATAAAATATAAACAATACTACTGCAACTGAAGTTATGCAAATAAGGAGTCATTTTAGCAACTAGTGCCTCTGATGCAGTCTCACTGCTAATAAACACCATTTGTGTATCTTCATATGA